CCGCGCGCGCGCCCCCCTTCCCGCGCGCATGGAGCACCTACACTACCACGCGGCGGCGTCCAAGTCGGCAAAGTCGGCCATGGCCGTGCTGTCGGGCCCCACGCGCTCGTTCTCGGGCTGGGCCATGGTCCGTCTGGGCAAGCTGTCGCGCGCCGTGCGCCGCTTCGTCATCCTGCGCTCGTCCAACCTCGTCGTGTGCGCCACGGACAACCCGCGCTCCGCCCTCGTCTCGTTCCCGGTCACCGGCGCCTCGCTCACCCTCACCTCGGCCCGCTTCGAGTGCTACATACGCGCCCCGGCCCACCGCGCCTGGATCCAGTGGGCCTCCGAGTCGGACCTGCGCGTCTGTCGCCAGGCTTTTGAGTACGCCAATCGAAGGGTCGACGACTATTATAGGCTCGTTACACACAAGCAGCTGGGGAAAGGAAGGAGCTCAGAGGTCGTCTTCGCCTTTGATACCTCGAGTGGCGATCATGCCGCTGTTAAGATTATGAATAAGGACAAGGCTCGCTCTACCGACCGCGAGTTTGCGGAGAAGGAGGTCATCATTCGCATGACCATTCAGCATCCATGTATCGTTCAAACCTTGAACATTTTCGAGTCTCCGTTTGATCTTTTCGTCGTCATGGAGCTCATGAGTGGCGGCCCGCTTGACCGCCGCCTAATTAAGAAGAACGCCCCACTCTCGGAACCTCAGGCCCGAATGATAATGCGCAGGTTGTTCGACGCTCTCTCGCATCTCCACCGCCGCGGCATTGCTCACCGCAACGTCAAGCCGCAGAACATTTTCCTCGATGTCGCCGATGACTCCCACTGGCCCGAGACCGCAAAGCTCTCAGACTTCAGCTTGGCCTGCGTTTTGGATGATCCCGACTCGGCACGACAAATCGTCGGCACCCCGGAGTACCTCGCCCCGGAGGCCTCCATCATGACTAGAACCCGCCAGGGAGACCGCGAGGTCGTCTTTGGCACCGAGATCGACATGTGGGCTGCCGGTGTCACCTTGTACAACATTCTCAGCCTCGAGCTCCCGTTTGAAGGCGACTACCCTCCCGACGTTTTTAAACAGGCCCGAGCTGCCAGGCTCCACTTTTCAAAACGCGGCTTTGGCCAGGTCTCACAATCTGCCATCTCCCTCATCCGCAGTTTGCTCAATCCTGATCGTAGGAAGCGTCCCACCGCAGAAACCGTCATGTTCCACCCATGGTTCCAAGAGCCCCGCCTGCTGCTGCAAGGCACAGACCACCTCGAAACTGCCACCAAATCAATTTCCCTATCCAACAACTTTGGCGCCATGAGCGACAGCCTTGTTCGATTTCGTGCATCCGTGCTGGCGGTCCGCCTCATTCATCGCTTCATAACCCACACCCCCGGAATCTCTCTGGAGCCCTCGCGGATCGAGAAGCGCTTTCATTTTGGGGTCAGCGGCGTCAACATTGCCCCACTCCCCTATACAGTAGATGTTAAAAAAGACGCCATGAACCCGCGCCACTCGGCCACAGTTTTCTCCAGGATCAGCACGGGGTCAACGGTCAAGTCAAGATCGAGCACGACGGAAGACACCCCCGTCGTCCCATCGTTCCCAACCTCCGTGTCCGTGGACACTCGCCCAGCCAGTACCATGCGCATGGACCGCACTAACGACTACTTCTCACGCACCAATTCTCGCACCACGAGGCAGTCGAGCTTCGGCTCTGGCAGCGTCACGGGCGTACACAGACTAATATCAGGGAAAATTCATCAGTTAGGTTCGCATTCCCCGTCACCACAGGAACACCACAACGAGATTCCCGCAAAAAGCAGCCCCTGGCGGTGGCGCAGGCGTAGCACGCGAGGGTCTCGTTCGAATCTTTAAGCGCAAACAAGTATGGAAGAAGAAATGAAGATGTTGTATACAGCCACAATAGCAAAAGGTTTTTCTTGATGATAAAGAGAAAAAGAGTACATAAATGCATTCTCACCTCGTATGTGTAGAATTTTTTTGACGGAAACCGATTTCCTCAGCGCTCCCGTTTAGAATTGTCAGTAGTAATCCGCACCGCGTTGCATCCCTGGACGTGCATGGCAACCAAAGGTGTGCATTGGTTGTGCTCAAAGGAAGGGTAAGTTAAAGATGCTATGTCCTCCCCAGCTCCGCATCGCGCCCCCAGTCCAGACTCCCATCTCCTGGCGAATCGCGGCAGATCCCCTGGCCACTTTTGCACCTTAATGACTTAATGGGCCTCGCGATTATTCGTGACGTAGCACAGCAGACTAGCCGCGCGTGTCCACTCATACCACCCTGACCTACAAACGACGTTACATCGCAGACAGACTTTTCCAGGGTGTAAAACTCAAGACAATGTATATATATAGGAATGTATATATGTGCATATACATTCGTATATCGAGGCTGCCCTCTTCCTTTTAAAGGAGTCATAACAAGAAAAGTACGCAAGCCCAATTTGTAGTCTGTCACTTGTGAAGCAGTCGTGAGAGCAGTTTAGCAACACGGGTTGAATTGTCTCCGGGCCGAGGAGCAATCGCGAGTTCAGGCGTCGGTCGAAAGTCCTACTCTCGACGGCATTGCTGCTGCCCACCAGGCATCTTTCAGATTTTTATTCCAGCTTCACGCTGCTGACTTTCGCAAGCATTGCGAGGGTGACGCATACAAGAAGCTCCGGCTGGGGACATGGTGGCCCTTACGAAAAAAATGAAATATGGTGGGTGGGCAGCACCATATTTCATTTTTTTCGTAGGTGACATCACCTTCTACCGCTGCGAGAAACACGAGTGGTGAGCTGTAAGATCTCGCTTGTTGCTCCGCAAGAGTTGGACGGGACGGACATTTCAATTGGGGTGGGGAAGCCAATAGAATTGACAAGTTTACCCTACGTGTCGTTGCAAGCGTTGCGCTGTGCTTTGATGTCGGGGTTTGTCGTGCCGTGAATGTCACGTAGCACGACTCCATAGCAGCTGATTTCGATATTGGCATTGCTTGAATTTCCCATTCATGATGGCTCATCAGCCACTGGTCTGAGGGCCGTCCAGGGCTCGTTGGGGTGTTGCCGCTGATGGACCCCTTCGATGGGCAGAGGGAGCGTGTGGACAGAGATTTTCTCCTGTATTGCAATGTAGGTGCGCGAAGGTGCTCTATCGGAAGCGGGGAAATACAGTGCTGTACAGTATGAGCAAATACGGTGCAGTAGGTCAATTCTGCACTGTACGCGGCTCTGACCGAATGCTGTATGTACCATAATTTATTCAGTTTTTTTCTATATTATATGGTACACGTGTACAGAATCCGTAATAATCTTGAGCCGCGAGCCCTTCTGCTTTTGATAAATCAGAACAGGTGCGACCCGCACACCGTAGAGTGACTCGCGGCAACAAAGTCTGTCGCTCAAATCCACGAAGGAGTCTCTTCGCGCGTGGAACGGTAGATCAAACTCCCGCGAGGGATCGGCGGCGAATGGTACAGTGTACTAGCGAGGAAGCGAGAGTGGTGCCAGGGGCGAAGCAAAACGATATAGTCGTACAGTAGATCACCCCGAAAACCTCTTGACGCCTCCTTGAGGCTACATAAGTTTACTTGATTCTCCTCCCGTGGGTGCCTCGACGCTTGACAAGGCTCCCACGGGAGTACAGTAGACCCCCCGTAATAGTGCACCCCTGTGCCAGGCCTCACAAAACGCACTACTGACGTCATGCACTAAAGAAGCAACAGCAAAGCTCATTTACTGTACGACATGAAATGCTCTGCAATGAGCGTCTGGCGGTTCCTCTTTCTATGGTCGTAATAAGCACCAAAAAGTGCACGTTTCGCACGGCGCAAACCCTGACTTGCCCCTGTGAATTTTGCAGTCTACTGTGCTGATCATGAGGTAACTGTTGCTGAGAGCATTTTGTCTCGGATCCGTAAGGCACGTTGCTGCAGTGTGGCAGCAGAGATCGGCAGTTTCCCTGCTCGAGCAATGTGAACAAAGTCGAACAGCGAACGGTCAATGTCTGGGAACCGCGCAGCTGGAAAGGTTTTGAACTGCATGTTGTGGCTATGCTCTTGCATTTTTCTTTGAACTAACGCCGATTCAGTTCTAATCTTCTGCACAAGGCGCACACTGCAACCAAAAGATGCAGCAACTCCATAAACTGTTTCCCCATTCTCATGAGATTCAAGGACTTTTCCTTTCTGTGCCAACGTTAATCTTTTGCCCTGTGCCTTCGGTTTCGATGAGCTCACGTTTGCCATGATGATGAGCACGGCAGTGCAGATAAGGATGCCGGTGGTGGCTGATACCGCAGATGTCTTCTCGGGGAACAAGCGGCGGCGTGGGTTCTAAGGCGCGCTACAGCTGCATTGCTGGCATATCAAGCGTACAGTTGTACACGTTTCAGAATCGGTGACATGGCCTGAAAAGCGCACTATTGACGTAAATGTACTAACAAAGAGCGCACTATTACGGAGGCCCCCTGTATCAAGTACACGTACTGTAAAGTTACTGCAGACGAGACGCGTGGTCGGCAAATCGCGATCACTCACTTTAATCCAGATCCCCGATGGCAAATTTCGCGCGACCATGCACAGTCACTGCTGTGCAGCGACGAAAGTCCCAGGGCGCTCCCACTCTGCGCTCATACCCTATGATGTCAACAGCACACTGCAGTCTAACAACGGTACCCCACCACCGCACCCGCCCAACCCCTTGCTCCTCGCGCTTGTCATTCCATTCCATGAGCCCGCGCCTATCGATGCAGTCTACGAAGCCTTCTGCGGCTCTCAAGGCCACGACCTGATCATGGAGTCCGACCCGCCACTGCACCGTCGTCGAAAGCCGACTAAGCGTCGAGGTCGCACGAGGCTTTCTTCTCTCCCTTCCTCGCCGCCCCCGTCATCCTCCGCCCCGAACCCGGCATCGTCTGATTCTAGACCCGATCGAAAACCCCCGGCCAGCCTCAGCATACGCGCAGCGACACCCGCGAGGAAGCGAAAAGGTCTGCGTGCCCCGCCGACGATTCCGGGGTATGAGACTGCCCCAGTGTCCACCTCGCCAGAGAAGCAGAGATACACGCCAGAGACTATCGCTGAGCTGAAAAGGAAGGGCAACAATTTACCTCCACCTGTAAGTGACGTTGCCGCGGATGAGCAGTTCGTGCCAAATGTCGAGGGGAAGGGTGGATCTAAAACCACCAGTTTGGAGGACGCGGAGCTTGCGTTAAGAGAGGCAAAACTGGGAGAGAATTCGGCCAAGTTTAAAGAAGACCCTGCCGGAAAAGGTGCGAGTGATCTCGTCGGTGCGCAATTGCGGCCGGATCCGTTTTCTGCAGAGTGGCGGGACGCGACGATAGGCCGAGCGAATGTCGTCGCTGAAGATGATGTCGTAGTCGTTGACGACTTTACTGGCGTGACCGATGCGGAGTACATTCCGCTCGAGGGAGATGCAGTCATGAAAGACGCCGACGCGACAGGGGATGCGGAGGAGGAAGGAAGCGATGGAGAATGGGAGCTCGAGCAGCTTCGACGAGCCGGACATGGTGTGCAACGAGACGCCGACGCGATTGCGCAGGAGAAGGCGCGGCAGATCGTGCGCGAGGCGGACGAGCGCCGACGTCGCGGGGGGGGATTCTCGGCATGTCTGCGCGCGGCGCGCGAGGCGACGTTGGAATGGGTGGCGAGGCAGGAGTTGGCGGAGGGGAAAATGCGCCAGATGGAGCAGGCTGAGCGAAGTGGCTCCGCCGTTGCCGTGGAGATTGATGGCGAGATTGCGGGTGCGAAGAGACGGCTCGCGTTCTACGGCGCGCTTTCGGCGCATGTCGATGACGTGGTGGATATGCTCAAGGAGAAAGAGGCGGACATTGTCGCAGCGCGCGGGAGGTTTCTGGAGAGGCTGGCCGTGGAAGCGGAGGCGGTGAAGACGTGCTTGCACGGGGGGACAGACGAGTTTGGCAGGTCGCGGTTGCCGAGTCTGGAGGTTCCGGAGGCGGAGGCGGAGGCGGAGGCGGGGGAGGACGTGTTGGAAGATGTGATGAGCGATGTGAGGTCGATTGAATCTTTGATTGTTTGGTTTAGGAAGTGGAGAACGCAGTACCCGAAGGAATATGAAGATGCGTTTGGAGACGCTGGGTTAGGGAAGCTGGCTGGACGGATAGCTTTAGCGACGCAGAGCGAGGACTTGGAATGGGTGAAAGCTCTAAGGGGGATGGCGAGGGCGGAGGCACTTCGGGCATCGAAGGCTGTGGAAACCGTTGCCGCCGGCATCCGAGCGAGATGGAAGCCCCGTGACGAAGAATCAGGGAGAAGGTATGCGGGAAGTGGCAGAGAAGTCGTGGAAGCGTATGGAGAAGAAGGGAAGCGCGCGATAACTGACGCATTTCGGGAACGAATGGGATGGGAGTCGGAGTGCTGTCGCAAGGTGGGGAGCGCGACAGACATGTGGAAATGCGTGGAGGAGTCAGTGCGGGTGATCAGTACGTTGAAGTTGGATTTTGGGATGGTGCATCTTTTGAGGGCCGTGGAAGAGGAGGGGTGGGACACAGATTTGTGGGATGGGTGCATGAAGGAAGCGGTACGATCGATCGCAGAAGACGAGGCGGGTGTGGTCAGTGAAGGAGGGATTGCTCTTGCCAAGAAACTTCTTGCGGACGTTTCGCCTGAGGTGAGAAAAGCAACTTCAGAGACCCTTCCGTAATAGTATTACATATTATGTGTTCAGTACTGTACTGCTACAGTAGTTGGCGATCAATGATCTGGTCTCCCTTGTCCACATGTCACTGTTATGATCGGTGATCTTGTCCTAAGAATATTGAATCAATATTATGGATCAGATCTATGGACGCTATGGACGCCGCAGGGTCTGACAGCCACAAGTGTTCTGTCGCTTTTTCTTCCGCCCATATGCCCAATCTCATGCGCCTTGCCTTTGCCCCTCCTCCCATACAAACCCCCCATCACGATCTACACGATGACCATGTCGGTCACAGTCCCATCTCTCAAATCCCATCATCGACAACTGAGGTCCACCTTTCTCCCACACCCACCATGAACCGCCCTGCCTTTGTCTCGGGCGCCTCAGGCGTGCTCTTGTTATCTGCAATCGCATCGCGTTCACTATGTTCGCGCCCAGCCCTGCCGCTGTCGGTCTTTCGGCGATCGCACGCACAGTATGCGCAGGTTCGCATGTCCGCCGATGCGGTATCGACCCTCGCCATCCAGACCGAACCGGCTGGTATGGAAAATACTTTCGAGTACCGGCTGTTCTACAAGAACGCCTCTGGGAAGGACATGTCCCCGTGGCATGATATTATAGTCTTCCCGGACAGCTCCAACAAACGCATTATCAACTTTGTCAACGAGATCCCGCGCGGCACTCAAGCCAAGATGGAGATCGCTACTGATGAGCTCTACACTCCGATCAAGCAGGACGTCAAGAACGGTGCGCTTCGTTTCTACAAGTACGGACCTAGCCTTATCAACTACGGTTCCATTCCGCAGACCTGGGAGGATCCCGAAAATGTACACGAAGAACTCAAAATCGGCGGAGACGGCGATCCGGTGGACGTCACGGAGATTGGAGAAAGGGTCATGCCATTCGGCGCAGTGTACCCGGTCAAGATCTTGGGGTGTCTTGCCCTTCTGGATGAAGGCGAGATTGACTGGAAGGTCATTGCCATCAATTGCGATGATCCGCTAGCCGACAAGATGAATGACATTGCGGATGTTGAGTGTTTTATGCCGGGTAAGGTAAGTGCCATTAGAGAATGGTTCAGGTTGTACAAGACTGCAGAAGGGAAGGGCGAGAATGAGTACGCTTACGGTGGAGAGGCAAAGGGGGCACAGTTTGCGACTGATGTAGTCGTGGAGACGCATGAGAGCTACTCCGGATTAAAGAACGGATCAATCAAGAATAGCGACGAATTATCGCTGAAATGAAAGGCGACGTGCCTTCACGTGGAAATGCGTATGCATCCGTTGGTATGCTCCAATGGCGTTTCTGAGTTAAGGTAAGACTCCACTCCTTGTTTTCTGCTGCGTGCTTGCCGGTGATGATTTCATGTTAGCTCTATCGGAATATCATTCAACTGTGATAAGACGACCGTTTTGCCTTTAGGCGAACATCGACCATAGAAACTGAGACATGCACACATCAGAACTTCAGTGATCACCCGACTGCAGTCCTGCTAACTTTTTTCTGATTTTTTTGAGATTTCTCTGCAGTCCACGAGTTAAGTATGCTTGGACCTAAATGTTTGCTTTGCGATGTAGATACATTAAGAGGATTGTCTCTCACCATGCCTTCACAATAAATGGAGACGTAAACGTTCCACACCAGAGCCGTTGAGCAGTTTTTTGAAACGACCGCCGTTGAGAAGGGTGCCAGAGTCGAAAGCGAAGGCCTGGGACAGTGTTTGTGGGACTTGATTTTCCAGATGCGGGTATACATAGTCAGATGTTCGTATGTTCGCGCACGGTGCACGTTTTTGGATGTATGATACTCTTCTGTAGCTATCACATTTGAAGTACCTTAACAAATTCCCCACGACCTTCACCTGTCCGTATCAGTAGGCACTCACTTCAAAGAGGGATGGATAATTCACTGCTTCAAAGTATGTTCGCAAAATAACGCAGAACGTCATCTTTAATATTGAATCTTGCGTCAATTTTTAGCATCCTTTTAGGACCTGCGACACGCAAGAACGCAGTCATGACGCATAACACAGATACTGTATCTCTAACTGGGGGGACGCACATCTTTAAATTTCGGTTAGAAGAATGAAATATGGATAGCAGTCATGTGTTTTTCTTACATACGATCGGAAAACGGCTAAAGGGAAGTGGAACTAGAAGATATTCATACTGTTGGACACGAAGCAGCACTTAAGGGGTCTAAGCATCTCACATGTATATCTAGTAGATATTATCTACCATGGGTCCTTAACAAATGATATAATCATTGCACATCTGATACTTCAGCCTTATTGGACAACAAAACAGTCTTTACTACTGTTGCTTCTACCTTTTAAGCTGGTTCTCTCTTTTTGTATATTCTTCTTTCTCATCAAACAGTGGAGACCATCAGTCGTTTCTCACTTCTTTTGGAATGCATTCACAACTCCTTCTCACCTTTCATTTTAAGACGATGCATGTCAGCATTCGCGCGCCATAAAGATATTCGATTTACTGTAATATGTAGTTGGCTTGCAAATCGCATGAGCACTCCAGGACAGGATGTATCACATTTAATTTTTCGTCACGCCGACACTTTGTCGTCACAGGGTCCGTTGATGGGAGAAGGGTGCTCGTGGTTCCGTGAACAATAGGTTGCCGATTCAATCGGCACTGCACGCCTGCGACGCCCCGGGTTTCACCCCCGCCGGGTACCTAACCAAAGTACCGAGCGAAATTAGCAGCTTAGCGTAGTGTAATTTTCTTTGCATTACCCACCCCCCTCTTCTTGTTGACCAACACGTCTTGTTCTTTATTCTTCCCACTCAACGCCCTTCGTTGCTCTTTACTTTTTGCATGCCTTCAATCTGTTGAAAGTAACGACGATCTCAATGACAACAATCGCCAAAATTTGTAGAAGGCGAGAAATAGAAACTTGATTTTTTTTTTTTTCCGCTTGCTTTGAAACCAAACAATCTTAACAGCAACACAAAGGCTTGAAAGCTTTATAATTTTGAGATACCTTTTGCACGATATTGTCAAAATAAGGAAATGATTTGACGAAATGAGTCAATAAGTTGTTACGACTGAAAACACAAACATACATAGACACTCATAAATATCAACCACAAAACACATCGCTACTAATCGTATTTACCTGGATCTCAGCAGAATGAACATATTTTTCTTCTGATCTTCGTCATGATCCCTCACAGGATTAAGAAAATTTACCACTCGCAAAAGACAACAATTTCACTTCCAGTTTTTTCTCCGCACTTTAAATTCCCACTTTCAAGTCAAGCAAAGAGTGCACTGAAGATGGAAGGATGCTCAACGCGAGGGATGACGTAGATAGCTTTTGATCTACAAAGTGAAACTACGATGTGATAATGGGATGAAGAAAACCAATGATGAAAGGGAGTCGATCTAGAGTTGAAAGAAAGACCAAACTCCTCAGCACAACAACAATGTCGAAGTTGAAGGTACATGTCTTTTTTTTTAATACGACGCAGGGCTGCCATTGCAGAATAGTTCTGGAATTGTACGGCGGATATAAGATGAGAACGGCTACATGTGTGGGAGCAGAGACGATCGGGCTTGGAAGCCTATTTCAGCTATAAATCGAGGATCCTGTGATGGAGGCATGAGACTTTTAGAGGAAGGTTTAGTAATAATGCTAAAAGTAGAAAGAAGCAGAAACCGGTTGAACAGATAGTATGCATAGCTGATTCGATCTTTCTGCTTTGGAGGACTAGGATACCAGGGTTCATGATGTGTCATTCAAGATGCAAATATGAAAACGTAATTTGTTGGAGTACTTCAAAGTCATACACAGTTTATGCCAGCTGCTTCACGTCACTAAAATCTTGAACCCATGCAGCGTGGTGCATCCCGGCCGTATCTGCCCAGCATAGAATGCTCTACAGAGTAAACATTATTATAATCTGCTCCGGAATGGACACAGAATAAAACGCCCAGACAGAAAGGACGAAACACGATATAGGCCTCTGTGATTGATATTTTCCACGTCCAAATATGCAGTTGCCGTTAACAATCATTATTCTGTACAGTACAATGTTTAGCGAATGGCTAGCAACGCTACCGAGGCAGATAGGAGTCGGAAGGAAAACACAAGGGCATTGAGAACATTGCCCTGGAAGGGTTTATAATACAAGAAGTAGTGCAAGAGGAAACCTTATCAAAAATAATTTTAACGCAAATGTAACAGACGTGGGAAGCAGAAGGAATGCCCGCAAGGCGAATAGCTCGTAGCCGAGCTGTTTTAACGAGGCATGTAGTTCAGATAGGCTGGATGGTGCATTAGAACAGACATATCTTCTTTTTTTGGTATTCAGGCAGAGCGCACATATGAGGTTTGGTCAACGTATAGTCATCTGGTTGTGGAACCGGGGACTTTATCCGCTTCCTGGTTCAGACATTTACATCTGCGATAAGTTACATCAGCAATTTTAATATATTCAAACATTCGAAGTACATCATCTGGGTCAGTTACGTTTTTTACATTGATACCTTTACCGTGCACATGCAAAGCACAAAATAACAAGCTAAAAGTGATCTGCTAGACAGTACAGCAGTCGAAAGGGACAAATAAGGCACTGAGGAGAAGAAATGAGGACAACTATATATATAAGGTACTGGGATCGCTGTGAACGCGATCTCTCAGGTGACCTACAAGACGCTTACACGTGTAGTGCTGTATGCAGAGAAGAAGAGCTCGACAACATTCGCATTTATTTGAAGTTGCTATCCGTCGCTTCATCGTGCAGTGCACATGCATTGAAAAAACGAACATTGCAGACGCTGTCGTTCTCTCTGTTGATGTGTTCACATATCATTGAAAAATAACAATGTGTGAACATGATTTAGACAAGTCGTGAAAAGAGCGCTATTGCCGTTGAAACAAACGTTGAGGGGGATCAGATCCGGTGTCAGTCCGATACCTTCTTTTTTTCTTGTAGCCGAACCACTATTTATACTACCACAGCTACAAGCTACTAGGATAGGATATTGCATAAAAGAGAGTAGACTTCAGAGAGCCCAGGAGAGTCCATGTAATTTTCTCCAAAATCAGAGACTTCGAAGAGCCCAGGAGAGTCCATGTAATTCTCTCCAGAAAATTAGAGAGGCCTCCTTTGCACTTCATACATGATAGATGACTTCTTTACGAAGTCACGAATAGTCAACAATGGTCATGGCAATCGCCAGCTTTTAAAAGAGCGCTTTCTCCGTAGTTCCTGATCTCAATGGCTGTGAAGGGCGGGTACTGTGCTAGGATATGTATCTACAGGTAGAAGTGGGCAGTGTTTCTGCATTGTAGCATATTTTTTTGGGAGGTACAGTATCCAGAAACGTACAGTATGAGCAAACAATTTGGGACAGATTGCCTGAAAGATCCCGGCGCTAATCCAAGTGTCACCAATTTATTGGCATTTTGAAGAAATATCAGGTGGGGATGGCGTCTAAGACAGGGCACGGGAGCCATCCGTTTGGAGCTCGCTCGAAATTCCCAGGAGATATCCGCCTCCTCACTCCTGGTGAGCATGGCCTCAAGCAACGTCTCCGGCCCTCTCATCAATGCCCCCAGAAACCCTTACAATATCACACAAGACCTCCTGTTGTATATATACTTTTATCGCTACCCATCCTGTCCGCACCTGCAGCCACCTCCGCCTACCCCTGCCCACTCCTCTCCTCCGCAACCTCTCCCACTCTCCCACTTCCTCATTCCCCCACCCGCAATCATGGCTTTCGTCGCCCCCACCCTCCTCGTCCGCCCCTCCATCCTTTCCCGCAGCTGCATTCATGGTGCCCGTGTCTCCGCCGCCCCTGTCGTCCGCCACGCCACCGGCGTCCGCATGCAAGTGCTCCCGGTCTTCACCGAAGCCATGTCAGACTTCAAGAAGGACTTTCCATTCTTCGCCGAGCGCGGCTGGGGAGCGACCGTGAAAGCCGAGCGCTGGAACGGCCGTCACGCCATGTTCGGCTTTCTCGTCCTCGTTCTCACGGGCTACTGCAAGGGCCATGGCCTAATCCCCGACGCCGACGTCCCGCTGGATTTCAAGCAATGGGGTGTTATCGCTGAGCTCGGCGACTTCCAACCGATCAGCACAGAAAGGGCAATTATCCTCGTCGCTCACATCCACGTCCTGCTCGTCTCTATTGCTGCCGCATTGGCACCCTTCTCTTTCCAAGATAAGCTCTTGCTGCAGCCTGGGGAGAAAGATGAGGCTCCAGCGGGTCTCTTCCCGCCCTTCGAGTTAGGATTGACCAAGGGTGCTGAGTTGTGGAACTCCCGTGTCGCCATGCTCGGACTTCTGGTTCTTATCGGCACTTCGGTGGCGACCCATACGTCCATCCTTGATACGCTTAACGTTGGGCTTGGCAACTTGTTGTTTTGAGTGTAACCCGTTGACAGTTTTGTATGACAGGTTTATCTTCGTTCCGTGTGCAGATGTTTCCCGCCCTTAACAGTCCAATTTGCGGGTCTAGTCGCTGGGGAACCTCATCATTTAAGATATGTCATGGTACTGTTGAAGTGTAAAAGTCTTTCCTAGAAATTTTTTTGAGCTGTTGGCGGGTCTGACTTTTACGTGGACATCTTTTTTTTCCCCCGGAATACACGCGGAGCGCAATCAAAAATGAACTCACTTTCATGTCAAATGACCACCTGTTGTCTAAAGTTTTCCTATGAATGGTTTTCTTTGCGGAACATGCGCGCGTCTCTGACTTGTTGAAGTTGGGGCATGGGCTCATGTCGAAATGTCTCGCTTCTTTCTAAGGAAAGATCTCCGCAAGCAGATTAACGCTCAAGCCTCATCAACGTGGACGAAGCACAGAAACGTGGGTTTGATTTGATTTAATAGCAAATTGCCGCAATTAGGATGTGTATGTGCTCTTAATCCCGGATTGGGCTTGACCGCAGCGACCAATCTAGTACACTGTAGCTAGAGCTAGCATGGAAAGTCGAAGGATGTAGCGATACAGCCAATGGAAATGTTTCTTTTATTTCAACTAATTTTGTATTGCGTCGAGTCTCGCCCTCAAGTGGAAACACGAGCGTAGCATAACTTTCGATTTCGTCTCCGTTAATCACATTGTCTAATCTCGATTACAGTCGCACCTTAGCTCCATCAAGGAAGGGGTTTTGCAACGTTCGTTCGGGAGACCGGAATACAGAAACAATGCAATCCAGCTTCAGGCTATCTCGGCATGTCCTTCCCCGCGTTCGGGACTTTCGGCAAATGCACAATGTCAACATCCGCAACACAACCATCCGCGCTCTCTCTGCCAGCATTGCAGTGCGTCGTGATCGAGCCATCAAGTGTACGGGCGACACTACTGGAAAGAATGCCAATTTCCGGAACGCTCTTGCGCATATCATGTGTGCCACTGGAGCTGTCGCTGTGGGTATGCACCTCGCGGAGTACGAGGGCGAATGGCGACCGCCGGATACTCCGGAAGACGATACCGAGCTTCATGAAGTAATAAACTGGTCCGGTACCCACACCGTCGAAACGAGACGTTATTACCAACCAGAGACGATGGAGGAGCTAAGAGCGCTTGTGAAGAACGCACACATTCGGAGACGGAAACTGCGTCCGGTGGGCTCAGCGCTCAGTCCAAACGGGTTGGCACTTGAAAAAGGTGGCATGGTCAATCTCGTCTTGTTGGACAAGATTCTCGAGATTGACAAAGAGAAGAAGCAAGTCAAAGTGCAAGCAGGTGCAAGGGTTAATCAGGTCGTCGATGCGTTGCGACCGCACGGTTTGACGCTACAGAATTTCGCATCAATTACTGAGCAACAGATTGGGGGGTTTACACAGGTTGGGGCACATGGTAGCGGGGCGAAAATTCCGCCGGTGGATGAACAGGTTATTGGCCTGAAGGTTATCACCCCAGCTGCGGGGGAGCTGGAGCTGTCAATTGACGACGACGACCCCTCGCTATTTCAGCTGGCGAGAACTGCGCTCGGAATGATTGGAATTGTCGCTGAGGTTACGTTGCAGTGCGTCCCGGCACATAAGCTCATCGAGGAGACTTATGTCACTACGCGGGCTGAAGTGCAAACTCAGCACAAGTCATTGATGGCTAAGAATCGCCACTTGCGTTACATGTGGATTCCTCACACGAAATACGTCGTGGTAGTTACCTGCAACCCGTACAAGGGAGCAAGGTCCGACGTGTTTCTTCGCTATAGCAAGTACAATGACAGTGAGCGTCTTGCTGCTCCGCGAAAACTCTTGCGAAGCCATCCTGATTGCAACCTAACTGATGTTCAGATAGTAGAACTAGGTTTCACCTCTCTACGAGATGAGCTTCTGGCGTTGGACCCTCTAAACGTTGAGTGGGTGAAAAAGGTCAACCTCGCAGAGGCTGAGTTCTGGAAACGGTCTGAAGGAACGCGAGTGGACTGGTCAGATAGGATTTTGCAGTTTGACTGCGGAGGACAACAGTGGGTTTCGGAAGTAGCATTTCCAGCTCCTTCGAATGACGCGAAGAACTCAGACGTACAGTTCGTTCAAGACTTGCTGGAGTTGATTGAAAAGGAAGGAATTCCAGCCCCAGCACCGATCGAACAGAGGTGGTCTGCTCCGAGTCACTCGCCAATGTCTCCTGCCGGAGAAAAGCCGCCGAAGGAGCTTGCAGATATTTACTCCTGGGTTGGCATCATTATGTATCTTCCAGATGCATCTCTCGGCAACGAAACACGCGAGCGAATCACTGGCGCATTCAAGGAGTACAAGAGTTTGTGCGAGGAACGACTTTGGAAGAACGCAAGTGCTGTTGAGCACTGGGCAAAGGTTGAGTTGCCAGATACGGAGGAGGGAAAGACTCGATTGCGAACAAGAACATTTCACAAGTACCCTACAGAGGCATTCAAAGCCATCTGCGCCATTTTTGACCCACACGGAATATTACGAAACGAGCTGATGGACACCATTCTTGGCATTGAAACGCCGAGTCAAGCACCAATGTCTGAACCCACACATGTCTCGTAGGTCCTTAGGTGCAGTTCATGGTCAGAATGAGGTAGGGCTCGAGTTGGAGAAGCTTGACATGACATATCCACACCGAATCCTTTGAATCACGTCGTCGCCGCACCAGGGCCACGCACTCGGAAAGAGTCAAGCTTTTTTCTTGTGCACTCGTGAGACTGAAGCATTGCTTCTGATAACGACTCATCCGCACGCAGTCGCGGTAACAAGCTAACAGCACTGTTGCAACATATCACGGAGTTGATATGAAGTAAGATGAAACGTGCAGGGCGGGGACTTTACTGGGGACCTTTGGTACCCATCGCCGTTGAAACGATAGATACGAATTGTTACCAGCGAAAGATTCTAAGAGGCTAGTTTAGCAGACTTACAAGTATAGCCCTTCAGGAACGCCCTGGTTCTTCTTGTACAAAACGTTTTCCCTCGCCTTTCTGAAATCTGCGTGCATCACCTTCATCCGCCTTTCACGCAAAGCCATCAGCCCAGCCTCTGTGCAAATTGCTTTGATGTCAGCTCCACTCAAGTCATCCTTGCTCATGACGAACTCCTCCAGCTTAACGTCCTGGGCCAGTGTCATGCGCCCGGTATGAATAGTGAAAATTCTGCGCTTCGTCTTCTCGTCAGGCAGCGGGAATTCAATCTTACGATCGATACGGCCAGGCCGAAGCAGCGCCGGATCAAGAGTTTCAATGCGATTGGTAGCCAACAGCACCTTAACATCTCCCCTACTATCAAACCCATCAAGCTGATTTAGCAACTCGAGCATAGTCCTCTGAATCTCCCTCTCCCCACTAGAGGTGGTGTCATACCTCTTCGTCCCAACGGCATCAATCTCATCAATAAACACAATGGACGGCGCCATGTCCTCCGCCACACGAAATAGTTCTCGCACAAGCTTGGGCCCGTCTCCCAAATACTTTTGAATCAATTCGGACCCGACGACCCTCAAAAACGACGCTGACGTGCTGTTTGCAACTGCCTTTGCCAGAAGAGTCTTTCCGGTCCCCGGCTCGCCGTACAAGATCACACCCTTTGGAGGCTTGATGCCCATGTCCTCGTAGAGTTCCGGATGAGTCAGCGGCAGCTCGACGGCCTCTTTGATCTCCTGGATTTGGTCCTCCAGCCCGCCAATGTCCGCATAGCTTTCCAACGGTGCCTTATCAACCTTCATCACGCTGACCATCGGGTCGGCATCATCAGCCAGCATACCCACAACGCTGAGGACTTTCTGATGCAGCAGCACGGAGCTGCCTGGCTCCAACTGATCCTTGTCCACAAACGAAGTAATGTAAACATAGTACTCTGGGCCGACAGCGGACGAAACAATCGCATGATCATCATCAATGATTTCCTCCAGCGTACCCACACCCATGGGGGTGCCGCGAATATCCTCGACCTTGGATCGATCTTCCTCGGTGCGCTCCTCGCGCGGTTTGTAGCGCTCCTGATTTGTGACGAACTCTTCCTCCATGAGGAGATAGTCCTTCACGCGCTCCAGCTTTAGCATACGTAACCGGCATTTGGCAGTCGGGGTGATGTTGGGGAGCTTGGCGGCAACCTCGGGACCACGCCTCTTCTTCTTGCGACCGACGCGAGTAGGGCCCGGGGGAGGCTCGTACTTCTTCTTCTTCTTGTCTTGCTGGTTGTCGCCAGGTGGACCGCCCGGCGGCATGCCGCTCTGGCCATTACCCATTGCTGCAGGGGGTGTGGTGGAGTGAAGTGGGGTCGATGAGGATGGGGATGAGGGTGAAGATAAAGAGGACGGCTCGGAGGCGTGTGATAGACCGAAAAGGCAATTGGCGAGGGTAGCGCTCGGAATCCAATGCCAGTTGGGGGGCTCAACTGTGGCACAGCTGGAAGGCAGCCGATTAATTACATAGATTCTGCAACTTACTCGAGCATGATGTAGTTGCAATTGATTGGGCTCCTTTCCCTTCGCACGTGTACACGTGCGAGATACAGAGGTTCTCATACTGTACTGCATCCTGCTACAGTATCCAATGGCACGACGCGACAAACGGTGGCATACCCAACCCCACCACGCCACTTTGCCTCCGACCATTGGATATGGTGGCGATATATATGAAGCGATCAGGCCCCGGTCATGCTCGCGGGGCCGCACATGCGCAGAGTATGAAGTGCAGCGAAGCTTCGAATGATCATTTACCTTCGTCATTGCCGCAACTTAACTGGATGCGCACGCGGCGCATCAAGCGAAGCACTGCGACAGGGCAAACTCGGCGCGGGATTCGCAGGGTGGCTTTCGCGTGACAGCGTCCACAGCAACTTGTCCACCGCGCCGAGCTGCCGCGGTGTCACAGCGGAAGCAAACCCTCGCTGAGCCAGCAGCTACAGTATCAGTACTTGTAGCTGGCGCGCAGCGGGAAGTTTCTCCGGCTCAGCAGATGCGCGCCCCGTCTCGCGATGCGCCCGTCTTCCCCACTCATAACCGGAAAAACGTGGGGCGCTCCTGGTGGATTCGTCTGATTGACGGCGGAGATATTTGCGTCCTGGGGGTGAATTCATGTCCATGTAAACAGTCCACGAGGCAAGAACAGCTAACTCTGGCCCACTGGGTTCAGCAATACCGCAAGACGAAATCCGCGAGACGGGCGACAGAAAACCCTAGCTCGCTACTCTCATCACTACTGTTGTATGACGGGGGGCTCTCCCTTCCTACCAGCCGTACCCCTGCCCAACCTCGATCTCCGCTGCAGTGTGCGCAGGCCGTTCTCTTCTGTCGCCAACTGCGCATTCGCGGATGAACGTACAGCACGTTGAATATAAAGTTTACGGTATGCAGAATGTGACTCCGCAAAGGCTGTACGCCCTTTGTTTCATCGAACCCCGCATACTGTACAAGTACTGTGCGTCCTGTGCCATTGGCCAAGCGAGTGCGCAGGATGAGCCTGGTGAATTCGTTTGAAATCATACAACTTGAAGGCCGGCCCACTTGGTGCGGCAGCTGCTATAAATAACCGCTGCCCCTAAACACGCGGGACGGACGGACAAAAGTTTTCAAGTTCTACTGTACAGTACACGCTTCGGTACTGTATCTCGTCGGTTGAGATGCGGGTTCGACTGACGTCTTGCCGCTACAGTACTGTACACTGGACAACAGCAGACAAATCTACGTTGCGCATGGCCCTTCGCAGGAGGCGCAACGCGGCCTGTGCTACTCTAGCACGGCACTGAAGGGCCCCGCGCTGCCGCTCAGCCGCGCATGTGCGGCGGAGTGAGTTACAGCCGGACGGGGCGTACTCGTAGGCACGGCGGCAGCAGGGAAGGCATCGACAAGCCGGGCGCCGGTGCGGGGGAAAAAAGGTTTTTCTAGATGCGTGAATGCCAGCTGGTGTGCGACGGGAATTGCGCGTCGCGCGCAGATAAAGGGCCAAGTGACAGTGTGACGCTCAGGAAATGTCGTTTTTTTTAAGCCTCTGCGTGCGCCCGCCGTGCCGGGTTGGGGAAGGCATGCGGAGAAACTTTGGCCCTTGCCGAATGCGTCAGCTCGTCTGACCGTAAGCGCAGCGGGACATAATTTTCATACTTTTTTTTTACACCTCGTTGCATACCTGCGGGTGCGCATCGCTCGCGCCGGCTTCGCTCGCGCCGGCTTCGCTCCAGGCGAGGACCTCAGAGTTCTTCGCACATGTGCAGCTTACAAAGGAATGCAGCAGCGGCAGTTATGTCCAGTTGTGTGTTGAAGTTGCCCGAATGTATTTCGTTTTCAGAGCTTCGCCTGGTTAATCCTATTGGCCAGCGCGTTGATATATATAATTTTTTAGTTGTCCGAGATATTTGCGCAAAACCGCTCAACACGCCTAAACAATCTCATTTCAATATTTCCAAAGCAAATCCGAATATTGCCATTTGCTTCTGTCCCCCTACCAATCCTTCGAGCGCACCAGTCTGTGTCTGCCCGTGGGATCTTTTTCAAATCGCGTTGGCACCCGCAATCAGAGGCTGCAGGTTTCTGCGCCCAGATTCTACCATTACGCAGAGACACACCCGCCCCATGGACAAGCCTAGCCACATGAAGGTTCGTTCCCATCGTCTTGTGCCAGCGAAGGAACCCATGTCTGCGTTAGTTCCTTGATCGCCCGACATGCCCTACTCTCATTTAACCTTGACACAAGTCGAGCTACGTCGACACTTTAGTTTAGCCGAAACAAGCTATGCCTTCCGCCCGGACCTTACACTATGCACATGCGTACTTGTGCGCGGCAGTGCACTGTACCAAGAACCACCGTCGTCCCGGTCGGCAGTTCTTCGGGCTGCGTTGGGCCACCTTGACACTCTGGGCCTTCCCCCGTCATGTTTCCGCCGCGCAGCCGCCACCTGGAAGTCACTGCGAGAGCCAGCGCCGCATGACATTCACACATCTGCTGGCGGTATCTCGCCAGCGCGACATTTTGCGTCTGCCAGTCTTTTGGCGTGATCGACACACAGGCTCACATGACCATCACGCAACGTCTATAGGCGTGACGCCAGCGTAAGTCCTTCATTTCTCTGCGCGTCAGCTGACGTCAGATATAATTTGCTATGCGAAAGATTGCTGTCGAGATTACACCCACTCCTGCCCTTCTGGGCCAGATCTCCCTCCAGAGATATCCGCCACGTACGCCACGTCCCTTCTCCAACCAATCACCAACTTCATCTCGCCCGGAGATTTTTTGCGTCACTAAGGACATGCGCCGAGGTGCTCACCCCCGTCACGCTCCGCGACCGAAGTCCATCTCATTTAAGCCACCAACCTCGTCGACGCGCCGCAAACCTCAACCGCCACGCACCCCTCCCTTCCCCCCCTTCCCACTAATTCTCCCCTTCGCACCCCCCAACCCCCCTGAGAGTCTCGCTCTCACCGCCATGACCATGCGCTCCATCGGCTCCATCAGCTCAGAGCTTTGCGAGATGCAACGCCTCCGTGATTCTAATATCGCCCGCTGCGCGAAGGACCTGGAATGGCAGCGCCGCATCATGGCCTCGCGCTCGGCCCCACTCTATACATCCCCGCGTTGCTCGTATGTATCTGTCGACCACCAGCCGCAGCGCCAAGTCCGTCATACTGTACCCTACCCACCGGCGCCCAAGACCGCGGCTCACTACAACCCCGCCGCGGCCCGCCCCACAGCCATCAAGATTGAAGATCATGCGGACTCCTTGTTCGGTGCTGATGACTCAACGCCGAGGCCACGCTTGCGCCACGCTCCTCTACCCCCGCCGCTTCGCGACGGGAGCCCCGACATGACAGACTCCACCCCGTCCGTTTCGACGCACGGCGCGAGTCCTGATTTGGATGCAGGCGAGCGTCGCTTAGGGGATGGCCAGAGGCCATCCGGGAGTCCCATAGGTCCTGGGACGGGGCGCATCGGAAAAATTCGAAGGCATCGCATGACGAAAGAGGAAGAGGCCCGCTTCGACGCAGCGGACCTCAAGGACTTGAGAGGAAGCACAGCCGCCAAGTCGAGAAAGATGACCGAGGATGAAAGGGATATCATGTTACACAAGCGCCGCTTGAGGAACAGACTGTCGGCCGCACGTAGTCGGGAGAGGCAGAGGAAGACGATTCAGGAGGTGGGGGAGGAGGTGGATGAATTGTTGGAGCAGGCCAGCTCGCTGCAAGAGAGGTGCCAAGTGGCCGAGAGCGAAATTCTTGCGCTACGTGCAACGAACGAGGCGCTGAGACTGGAGAACTCGCAGTTGAAGGGCGGCGCCAGCGGAAATGCCCCAGTGGGCAATGTCGCACAGCAGCCGGGACTGTTGAAGGGGAATGGGTCGATGTTGAGGTTTTCGATGTCGAGTGACATGCTGGATAGGATCATGGCGGGCTCGGATGGGCCTGGACTGCTGCCGTCGTCAATGGCGAGTAATGGAATGATTAAGATCCCGAGTACGCTACACCTCTCTCTCAGTACAGATAAGCTTGGAGATGGGATGCAAGCGTTTAATGCGTCGCTGCAGCCTATGTCGAGGACAGCGAGCACTATTGAAAGGATGCTGGATTGTAACAACAATGAGCAGTATACCCCGGGTGAGGATCTGGGTGCAAATAACTCTATTACCGCTACTAAATTAGGCTAACGCCTTGGTGCCCATGCGAATGAGAATGTCGCATTCAGAGGTGCGTATTTGATTGTGATTTGTATTCTGGCGTGGTCCCCGTGTGGCCGTGCTCGTGTAGCATCATTGTGTAAAAGCGTTTCTTCTGCGATAGATTGAGTCTTTGGTTATTTACAATGTGGAGAGAGCTCTGTGTTAGCATTTTTGTAGTCGTACCAAGCTGTGCCCTTAATTCTCAAACTTGGTAGTAATCTACAACTCTGCAGCCCACCGGCGGCTACAGAGAAAAAAATATTCGGGCGAGGACGGCCTGTTCTATACATCTACGGCCCTGATGGTACAAGCGGCGATTCAATCCCCGACAGACCACGCCCCTACCGATTGCTTAGGATTCGAAGTTGCTGTGATAGCGTCGCAAGGGCAGGTACTAGTGATGGTAATGGAGCCCCTGAATACAGTGCAGATAAATAATCGTTCACGTTCTCCCGTGGTAATGTATTCCAGGGACCTTGTTGCACGGCCCTCGCAAAATCCTGCCCCAGGTGACTAGCACACGTTTGCTGCAAACTGGCAATTTCCGTCAGGACACTGGTCGCCTCTCCCCCCTCTGTGTCTCCAACCCTGAAAACCGTCCCACGTACAGCGCTCGTCATTGCTGCATTCGCACACTCCTTTAGAGCGAACTGGCGAAACCCGGGCGGACTGTTGTCGTTTTGAGGCCCTATCCAAGCCTTGACTAGATCTCCCAACATGTGCAGAGACATCTTCATGACTGGCCCAGCCTCTCGTGAATCCAACGACTCACCGATAGCATTTGACAGGACGTACGACATAACTTGTCCAAGCAGCGGCAGATGTTCCGGGAATAGAAGCACCGTGAACAACTTTGTTCTTACAAGAGCATGCAAAAAGTATGTGTACGCGCGATGCATGTCTGCTGCTTCTCGACTCTCCTCCGATATAGCCAGCAAGGTAGTTGGGTCCAAAACAACTGAATATTCGTGGACTTTTCGCACAAGCGGGGCATACGTAGATAAAGCAATTGATTGGGCATCCCCTGCAAATTTGGTCACAATTTGAGAGATGAGGCTCAGAGTGACATGAAGCTCCACAGCCGTTGAAGCTGTGTGGACCAATTGTCCAACTTGGTCTTCGATGAACGGCAGCACCGGAGCGCCAATTGTATCAACCATGCGGTGGAGAAAGCCCACTAGTCGCGCACGAAGTTCCGTGTGCTGCGTGCCGATTTGCAAAGCTGGCTTTGATGCCTTCATAGCAGCCTCAAGGCAGTTGATCCAAATCTCTTGCACTTTGAGAGCCAAAGCCGATGGGGGCTGCATCTTTGCTAGAGATTGCGCTGTGTCATTTCTCACCCCTCCTGGTGGGTACGAGGGCTCTGTCTCTTTTAACATTAAAAGTGGTCTAGAATCACCTCCAAATCCTTTCGAGAGCGACCCTGCTGCCGTGATGTAGCCGATCACAACCTCGGGATCATTACTTTGAAAACCTTCAAGCACTTTTCCCAGGATAGCTGTGAGGCATTTCAAAGACTCTTCCCACTTTGTGTCCGTCCCAAGAAGATAACCAACGGATTCGAAAACTTCCATTTGGTCATTCTGTGTGTAAGCCGGGTTTCCTACAGGGAACATGTGCGCTTCGGCAGCAATGATCATGTCTCTGAGATGGCTCTTCGACAGCAGGTAGCGCAAGAGCTTCGTGAACTTGAGAAGAGCATGCGCAGCAGAGCTCCTCACGACCATCGAGCATTTGTGCCCCAGCCCTCTCTCATCAAAAAACACCGGCAGCAAGGCTCGAAACAAAGTGTTGTCCTCTTGTCTCAAAAAGAGGCGATCAGACCTTCCGACCAATGCAAAGTAATGCTTGGACACGAGCTCGAGCTGATGCAAGTGAGTGGCTTGAGGCTTGTCAATAGAAGTAGCGGAAACGTTTGTCCCAAACTTCATACATTTTGGGGGGTTTTCGATAACCATCTGCTGCAGTTCCTCGAAATCTGGTGAGATAGGGCCTTCCGCTACAAATGAAACGAGTAAAGCGAAAGCCAGCTCAATGGAAAGCTCGTTGCCTGATGCCCACGCTTTTCGAAATAAACTGGTGAGGAATTCCGTGCAAAGGTCCCCAAAAGCCCTTGCGACGCTTCTAAACACATTGTCAATAAGCATTCGTCGAACTTCTGTGAAGGGATGGCGCCTCTCAAATTCATGAGGATCAAAGTCACGAGGTAGTACGGCGCGATCCTCGACTGCTTTCAAGATGGCGACCATGGCGGAAACGCCATCCTTTGAAGACCCCTCCTCGTCTGTCTCTGCCGCTTGCGCAAATACGTTGACATAGGTCGAGACACACTTCAAAATCTGTGCCGAGATGTCTTCATCATCCTCATGTAAAAAGCCCAGTGCAACCGGCAGGGCCACTTGAGCAATGGCGCCGGCTTCTAACTCCGTCTTCGCGCTATTATTAAACTTGGTTTTCCCCCTTAAAACTTCCTTCAATATATCCAGGGCCGCCCCAGCAACTGTATTGACCAGCGCGGCTACCTGCACGCGACCGCTTTGTAGCTCCAGTCCCGGGTCCCCCGGCTCCTCAACGTTTGCACAGATTTGCCTGACGGGAATCGACCTTAGGAGCGCCTCCAACTTCAGGGCGTTCATCAGCTCCAGCTTAGACTCTGCGTTCATTCGCTTGAGAATAATAGCGCTGAGCGCAGCCGCCGCCGCGCCTCTGGGCTCGCAGTATGCTTGCGACGTAATTGCAGCGTACATCGGGCTGAGCAATTTCTGCTGGGCTATGAGGTTAATATCGACCCACTCAACATACCGGGCGATGATATCGAAGGCCTGAGGCGCGAAGGGCGAGCCTGTGATCATGTCGCTGCACTTTGCCACTATGGTAGCGATGCAGTCGTCGCGCATGGCATCCTTGACACGTATCGATACCTGGCGTCTTCTCTCGCTAATCTGGGTGGCACGCACGCTGGTAATATCATCGTCCAAGCCGCGGAGCATGCGAAAAAACATCATGGTCGAGGCTGACGTGGCCTGCGGCGAGTCTGCCAGCGGAAGCAGTGTTTCCTGGAATGCGGAGGGCCACGCGTGCGGGTAATCAGCGCCAATGAGGGACACGACGACCTGGCAGAGCTTGTTGAGGAGATAAGTAGGAAACGCGGAGGCGTGGGCGACGGCTGCGTCGTTGGCGTAGCGCTCCGGAAACGTAGCTACAGAAAAGTACTCTAGGATCTTCCCCCGGATGGCGGCGACTTGCTCCGCGGAGAAGGCCGCAGGGTAGCGGCTGGGATCGTCGAGGGTCTCGCTGATGACGCCAAGACACCAATGGGCGACGGTGGGGGGCATGTTGGGGGAAAGGCTCTCCAGGACGAAGCTCCAGCCCTGAGGAGAGGAGCGGATGTTCTGGCAGTAGTCGAAGGCCTGCTTGCGTTGGTTGGGGTC